GAGCTAGACTTCAACAATACGTCTCTCTCTGACTGCAGTTCAATTACTCATTACCTACACACACATTATTGTCCCGTCACGTTGTCACCCTCTTATATATACCAGACTACCCTATATCTAGTAATCTCCCGACAATTCACGAAGGTACAAGATATTTCCAGAAAGCAGGGGGCGTTACACTAGTCACGTGACCTCCCTGACGCAACAGTATTGTTACCAGCAGATAACTTCAAATATCTAGTACCACGTTATCCTTACAGTAATGAACAGGCAACAGAACTGTTTATTATCGCTGTTACAGTATTGTTATCTGAACATAGCTTCAAATATACACACATAGTGTCACATTATCCTTACAGTAACGTACAGGTAACAGAACTGGTTAATTTATGATGTTACAGTATTGTTACTAGCAGATAACTTCAATACACACCTAGATGTCACACTATCCTTTCAGTAACGTGTAGGCAATAGAACTGGTTAATTTAAGATATTACAATATTGTTACCAGCACATAACTTCAAATATATATACGTATTGTCACGTACAGGCAACAGAACTATTTACTTCAAGATGTTACAGTTCTTACTAGAAGATAACTTCAAACATACAACACCTAGAGTCACATTATCCTTACAGTAACGTACAGGCAACAGAACTGGTTAATTGAAGATACTGCAGTATTGTTACCAGCACATAACTTCAAATATACATACATACTGTCACGTTATCCTTACAGTAACGCACAGGCAACAAAACTGGTTAATTCATGGTGTTACTGTATTGTTACCAACAGATAACTTCAAATATACACACCTAGTGTCACAATATCCTTACAGTAACGTACAGGCAACAGAACTGGTTACTTTAAGATACTGCAGTATTGTTACCAGCACATAACTTCAAATATACACACCTAGTGTCACAATATTCTTACAGTAACGTACAGGCAACAGAACTGGTTCATTCAAGATGTCATAGTATTGTTACTAGTAGATAACTTGAAATATACACATACCACGTTATCCCTACAGTAATGTACAAGCAATAGAACTGGTAAATTCAAGATGTTACAATACGTTTTATAATAACAGAAAAATTTAACAATACCTAATGTCACAATGTTCTTACAGTAACATATACATAACAGAACTGATTGCAACAGTTGTTATCGTAATGCACTGTAGTCGACAGCCTAGAAAAATGGTTACTGTTAACTATTGAATTTGGTGAACTACTAAGTTGTAGTAACTTAGTGTAAGAATAATTTAGAAAAGTAGTGGATTTTAATTATTGGATCAGAAGAAGCACTAAGTTGTTATAGTATTTTAACCAAAAGGTTAGTAAAATCTAAATTTTTGCCAATTATTCTGTTAACTACTCAATTGTAGTAACGTTTTGTAAGAATAGGTTAGAAAAGTGCTTAGTTTTATTTAGAGAATTTGGTAAACAATTAAGTTGTTGTAATAACGTGTTGTGACAATAGGTTAGAATAGTGGTTTGTTTCAACTAATGAATATGATAAACTACTAAGTTGTTGTAGTAGCGTATTGTAATAATAGGTTTAGAAAAGTGGTTAGTTTCAAGTAATGAGTCCGATTAACTACTAAACTGTTGTAGTAACGTATATTAAGAATAGGTTAGAAAAGTGATTAGTTTTTACTAATGAGTCTGATTGACTACTAATTTGTAGTGACGTAATGTAACACTAGGTTAGAAAAGTGGCTAGTTTCACCTAATGAATCTGATTAACTATTAAGTTATTGTGGTAACGTATTGTAACAATAGGCTAGAAAAGTGGTTAGTTTCAACTAATGAGTCTGATTAATTATTAAGTTGGAGAAATGTATTGCAACAATAAGCTAGAAAAGTTGTGAGCTTTATTCAGAAAATCTGAATATGGCGTCGTAAGCTATTGGCTTATTCGGGTTACAACTAATAGACCGACTACAATTTGGAGTGTTTATTCATATCTTTTAATTCATACCATCACCAAACACACACACACACATTTGTGATTGTAGCCCTAACAATATTTTGTTGCTTCATTCGCTTATGTAGTCTGATTAAGTATTTCTTTGTACATAAGTGATTGTAATTGTGAATAAAAGAGAAATATACAAAAACATTGTTGAATTTGAAACAAGCTAAGAATTTCTTGGAAATTATTTAAAACGCACGGAAAACCTAAACTTACGAGATTTGAGATTTGTTCAAGTTGATATCAGCATCACGTCCTTTAGCAGATTGGTTCCTTGCAATATCTGTGGTTGAATCTCGCGGATGGTTTAATACGAAATTTTCAGTAACTTTTTCTCGAGGAACAATCGAGGATATCTGCTAAATATCATGTAATTAAGGGAAACTATTAGTTAACTAATAATTCTGTGCTGTGGAAGAAACAGCAGAAAAATATAATGATGAAAACCTTATGTTACGTCTCTGGTCGTTTGTTAATTACTCGTAAAAATTCTTTCCGAAGAACTTCAGCGATACAAGTACTTTCTCAAATAAAACTAGTTTATTCCTTCTCAATACAACTTTGCAATACACTTAATTTCCACAATCAATTTAACTTAAGCACACGCTATAGTTCACAACGATTCACGCACTTACTTACTACCGCGCTTGACTCAATTGTCCGTCTCTGTCTGTCTGCAATTCTATATCGATTCATTGTCTGGAGCACTTATATACAAGAATACCGCACATCTAGCAAACACTCGAGCATTCACGAACCTTCGAGAATATCATGACGTGTTACTAGCGTCACGTGACTTCCGCTGTCGTAACAATATAAACACTTGCAGTTCAGGTGCAACTCATACGTCATCTTGTGT